TAATTAATGAAACTTTTCAGAATTATTGATAAAAAAAAGGATGAGTGATGGAAGGGATTGGGTGTTGAGTAATGTGTATGGCCCGAACTCATATAGAGAGAGGGATACATTCTGGGGAGAGCTAGCTACAGTGAGGGGCCTTTGGGAAGGTTCATGGTGTTTGGGAGGGGATTTCAATGTAATAAGGTATGTAAATGAGACAAACAACCCCAATCAGTCCATAACAAGTATGAGACACTTCAATTCCTTGATTGAGTCCCTAGAACTAAGAGAACCTACCTTGCTACAAGCCTCTTTCACCTAGTCAAATCTTCAAGAAAATCAAGTGTGCTCAAAACTGGATAGGTTCCTTTTCTCCATTGATTGGGAAGAGTTGTGGGGAAACATAACACTGAAAGCCCTGCCTAGAGTAACCTCTGACTAAACCTATTCATGGGTCAGTCCTAGCCGGGCTCAGGCCGGGCTTTTGCTCTTCATTAACAGGATTTTTTCAGGCCCGAGCCCGAAGACCAACCTAACAGAGGCTGAAATGCATGATTTGTACAATGTTGAGAAATGCAGGACTCGCCACCGGAGAGAGGGGCGACTGAATTCACTGGTGGCGCGGCTGGCGCCGGTGCCTAAGTTTGCTGGTGCTTGAGTTCGTTGGTTCCAAAGAACATGCAACAATGCGTGAGAATGAGAACTGCAAGAGAGACAAGAGAGAGGACCGGTGGCGAGAAAGAGAGAGAGAGAGAGAGAGAGAAGACTCACTGCCGGAGAGAGAGACGATCGGTGCTTGGGCTCGCCTGTCGCCTCTAAGACTGAGAACAGTGACTGCCTGCCTGGGTTTGCGCCGATTTTTAAGAGTGAGAGTTATGAGAGAAGATAAAAGATGAAAAGAGGGAATAGGAAAGGGTTAATCGACTAGGGTTTACAATAAAATACAAAATGTTGGGTCGGGCTTTTGTGACAAATCTCAAGCCCGACTCGTAAAATAGTCGGGCTCGGGCTTTTAGGCCCGAGGTCAAGCCCGCGGACTAAAATCCATGCGCAATCCCGTCCGGGGGTCAGGCTGGACCGGGCCGGCCCGTCGAGCTACCCGGCCCATGAACATGTCTACCTCTGACCACTGCTCCCTAAGTCTCTACCAAGAAAACCTTATTGGAGGCCCCACACCTTTTAGATTTGAGAATATGTGGCTAGAAGTTCCAATATTGGTGGTCAGAAGGTGGAATATGGGCCAGAGAGAAAGTGGTGAGATTCTCCAAAATATTGAAAAGATTGAAGGAAAAGGTCAATGAGTGGAATAAAGAGGAATTTGGAAAACTCGAGGTCATAAAGGAGGAATTAGCCAAGAAAATAGAGGAAGTGGACCAAAAGGAGGCCCGGAAAGAGTGTGGGCTAGAGGATAGATCTAAAAGATGGAACTTAAAAGTGCAACTAGAGGAGATCCTGAGGAAAGAAGAAATTTCTTGGAGACAAAATCTAGGTGTAAATGGCTTCTGGAGGGGGATGGAAATACCAGATTTTCCCACTCCCTAGCAAACGGGAGAAGATAGAAAAACCAAATCTCCAGTAATAGAGGTGGAGGAAAGAGTAGTAAACTCAAAGGAGGAAATTGAAAGGTGCTTTGTGGATCATCTCAAGTCAATTCTTGCCTCCTCTGTTGAAAGCAATTTGGAATTGGGAGAATTACAGTGGGACAGAGTGCCAGAATATGAAGCTTCCCTCCTAGAAAGAGCTTTCAGTGTAGAGGAGGTACATGAAGCAATTTTCTCGATAGATAGATTTAAAGCTCTGGGGCTGGATGGTTTTTCAATAGCTTTCTATCAGGATTGTTGGGAAATTTTGAAAGATGATTTAATGGATGTATTTGTGGAGTTCTATAAAAAAGGGGATTTATCGCCAAGAGCAAATGCAACTTTTATTGCTTTAGTGCCAAAAAAGAAAGAGGCCAAAACCCCTAAGGATTACAAACCGATAAGTCTTGTGGGTAGCTTGTATAAGATCTTTGCTAAAGTCCTGGTTGGTCAATTGAAGACTGTCCTGCCCTTTGTTATCTCTTAGAACCAAGGAGCTTTTGTAGAAGGGAAACAAATTGTGGATCAAATCTTAGTGGCAAATGAATGTGTGGCAGCTAAGAAAAAACAAGGTGGCAAAGGTTTGATTTGTAAATTGGACCTAGAAAAAGCTTATGATATGGTGGATTGGTCCTTCCTATTGAATCTCATGGAAAATGTGGGTTTAGGTGAAAGATGGAGACTATGGATTAAATGATGTATTAGCTCGGCACATTTTTCTATCATGATGGATGGGGTAGCAAAGGATTTCTTCCAGGCTAAAAGAGGACTCAGACAGGGTGATCCCTTATCCCCATTCTTATTCACCTTTGTGGCTGAGGTCTTGAGTAGACAAATCATCAAGGCTGACCAAGATAATCAGTTTAAAGGATGGAGGATTGGTAGTTTAGAAGTGGTGGTTTCTCACTTGCAATTTGCTGATGATACAATCATTTTTTGTGAAAGTTGTAATGAATCCAGTTTAAGGAATCTGAAAAGTTTGTGGACAAGTTTCAATAGGCCTCCAAACTAAAAGTGAATTGGGGAAAAAGCTGTGTAGCTGGAATAAACATTCGGAAGGGGGACATCTAAGCCATGGCAAATTTGCTAGAATGTGAAGTGAAAAGCTGGCATCTAGAATACTTAGGTATGCCCTTGGGGGGAAATCCAAAAGCTGAAAGTTGGCAATGTGGATGAGAAATTATATTTCCTTGGGGGGAAGAATCACCTTGATAAAATCTACCCTAGCAAACCTGCCCACTTATTTCCTCTCCACCTTTAAGATCCCGGTGAAAATAGTTAGGAAGTTAGAGAAGATTATGAGGGATTTTTTGTGGGGACCTGACGATGAAAAGAATGATCATTTAGTGAAGTGGGAGCAAGTTTGTTACCCTAAGGAGCAGGGTGGCCTAGGTATAGGGAACATATTAAAGAAAAATAAGGCCCTTCTAGGGAAATGACTATGGAGATTCCCTTGTGAAGAAGATAGGTTGTGGCACAGGATCATTAAAAGCATTCATGGTGAAGCAGATAATGGATGGGATGCAAAACTAGCTTCCAATGCAGCTCCAAATTCCCCCTAGAAGGAAATCTTTGAGGTACTACCAACCTTTCTTCAATTTATCCGGCTTGATGTTGGGTGTGGCAATAAAGCATTGTTCTGGGTGGCAAGACCTTTGGGTTGGGGATTTGCCTTTTATGGTTAAATTCCCGGACTTCTACTCCTTATCAAACCTTAAAAACAAACCTGTTGCTAGGATTGGCATGCTTTCAAACTTGGGTATCTGATGAGTTTCTGCTCACCTCAGGAGTCTCTTCAAGGGAGACCCTTCCTCCTACGTAGAAATGATGAGAAAAGAGAGAGAGAGAGAGAGGAGTGGATTCAATTTTCATGCTTCATTCATTCGGCCAACCCATATTTATAATGGTTTTGGTTACAAAATATCTCAACAAACTCTGAGTTCTAACGAATTCATGTAGAGGGACCAGCTGACGTGTTGCTTGTTGCAGTTGGGTGTTGTAACTGCTTGAGTGCGTTCTTCCTCATGTAAGTGCAAGTGAGTGGAGGTCTGGGCCTTGGTTCCAATCAATATCTCTTGGGACTTTGGCTTCAGAAGAGGGTTGAGGATAAAATGAATGTGAGTCCCTAGTGCTTTTGATCTCAACCCCTGAGAAGGTCTATTTAGACCAATCTATAGTTGATAGTAGAATCTGGTCCCCAACTCCTGATGGTTTATTTTCTTGTGCCTCTTTCTTTGGTTTGCTCACTCACTTTGATCCTTTGGGGGTGAACTTCCTAGTGAGAGAAATCTGGTATAAACCGATCCCTCCAAAAGTACAAGCTTCCTGTTGGGAAGTGTTCCTATGTGCTATAGAAAAGAAGGCCAAACAAATGCCTTACTCATGTGTGTGTCCTTTGTATGGATTGTAGTGAAACCCTACCCCACTTACTTTTATCCTGCTCTTTTGTTTATGGTATTTGAGATTTTGTTTGTTCTCTCTTTGGATGTAGATGGGCTCCCACACAAGATGTGGTAAGTCTATTCAGCCCCTCCTTCCTGAGGCAACAGAACAAAAGAGGAAAGTGCTTATGGAAGGCAGCATGAGTTGGCTACAGTATGGACCATATGGGAGGAAAGAAATCAAAGACTTTTCTCTGAAAAAAAGTAAATCAAAGGAGGAAGTTATTGAAGCCATAAAAATCAGAACTGAACATTGGGTGATGACCATGGAGTTATTCAAAAATTTCTCCACGAATGAGATTCTAAGAAGTTGGACTGAAGTAGCACAAACAGATGCACCCAAAGCAGTCGTAAGAGTGGAATGGAAGCCACCTGCACTGAACAAACTAAAACTAAACTTTGATGGGAGTTCTTTTGGTAACCCAGGAAGGGCAGGCATAGGGGGTGTGATTAGAAATCATCTGGGTGTGGTGGTGGCACTCTTCTCAGGACCAATAGGTATTGACTCAATACAGGTTGAATCTCTAGCTCTACTTCAAGGTCTAAAGATGGCTGAGCAGATTGGAACAACAAATTTAGAAATAGAAGGACCCTCACTACTGGTCATTTCTTGGACTAAAAACATCACATCAGCACCTTGGAAGCTCAAATTTATCTTCAGAGAAATTGACATACTTGCAAGGAGGCTCAACTCTCAGTTTGGTTGGGTCAAACGGAATGCAAATGGGATGGCGGATACCCTAGCAAAACAGGGGGAAAATAGTACTGGGAAGAACTGTAGCTGCTTGTATGTGTTTGCAGACTGGGTTAATGCATTACAGCAACCTATAACTATTGTAACTGTTTGTAACTTTTTCTCTGTTATTAATAAGAAATTTTTGCTGATAAAAAAAAAAAGACAACCACCACAGCCAACTTAGAATCAACTAAAATATCCAAAATACAATATACATTTCTAACTAAAAATATAGATTGACAGCAGTGCAAGATTTATTACCTGTAAAACTCGGGTGAAACATTCTTTTTGTCGTGAAGTAGGTTCACCGAAATGTACTGTCCTTGTTATGTCTGTTGTACCATCGATATATTGTGCACCACTATCTAATAGGAATAATTTATTAGCATCCACCACACTGCAGCTCTTGGGCTCTGGTTTGTAATGTATAATAGCACCATTTCCACCAGAAGCTGGAAAAAAAAAAGGAAAAAAAAAACTACTCATGGTTTCTGAAGTGGAATAAAAGGAGGTTTAAATGCATTAAACTTTACTTGTTTTTAGACTCCCTTCCCTTCTCCAGTAAGGAATACAAATAACTAACCAAAAACTTCTAAGTATTATCGTCGTCACCCAAGCCTTATCCCAACTATATGGGATCAGCTACATGAATCCTGTTTCACCATTCCATTTTGTTTAATGCCATATCCATTGTTAAATTATTAGCACTTAAATCATTTCTCACTATTTAACCCATGTTCTTTTTGGTTTACCCCCTATGGCCCTACCCTTTGTAGCCCCTTCAACTTGCAACAGATCACTTCTTATGGGTGCTGTCAAAGGTCTCCCAAAAAACTTCTAAGCATATAAGTAATTAATATAAATTCCAACATTCACTTTATCAAGGAAAATTGTGGAACCCAATAGACTTATACCATGAGGTAATGAATATGTGACATGAAATGAAATACCATATAAACATTAGAGGTTTAGTCAACCAAGGTCTGTCAGTATTTTTACCGTCAGTCCAACTGTTGGTAAACTGAAAAAGAAACAAAAAAAAAAGGAAAATATGTATCAAACAGAATAACCTACTAAGTTCTGCAAGAAAATGGTTTATTCTATGAGAAGTATATCTCCTTAGGCTCCCTTTATTTTTGCTGTAAATAAAAAGGAAATATGAGTGGTTAAATAATTAAGAATGAAAACTTTACAATACAAATATTTACTTTGCATCTGCTTTCTGATATTGTTTGTTTCTTTTTCTTTCTTTCCATTTTTCTTCGAGAATTAGGAAAAAAACTAAGTAAAAGAAACATTTATAGTCTTTTTTTTTACATCCAAAATCCCAATAAAAATAGTTTCAATTAGTTTCTAATAAACCCCCTTGTCTACCTTTCACTAAAGAAAGAATTACGCTTCAGTAAGAATGAAAAAAAAAGCATCCTCCCTTAGAAGAATATAATCCACATGAATTATTTGATAGCAAAAACATAGTCCAAACTGTATACCAACATTCAGATTGGCAAACCAGATTGGCAAACCAGATATCAACATGACTATCCAGCCTATTGAGCTGATAAAAAATAAATAAAAAAGTATCTCACTTTTTGAAAATGGTAAATAATGGCAACAGTGGTCATTATTTAATGAAAGCTAATCATCATAGTACCATCGCTATAGCACCATATCATATAACGTGTTTCCTTTTTTTGACCATCATTATCTAAGCCTTGTCCCAACTATATTGGTTGGCTACATGAATCCTGTTCAACCATTCTGTTTCAGTTCAGATGTTTTCCTTTTTGATAACTGATCAAAATTTCACTAATATATTATTATGTATAGACTATACAGTTGTACAAAAAGGCAGAAACAGTAACACTCAGAAAAGACCTTTACCCTTTGGACCAGAGTGTTATACCAGTTAAATAAAAATTTGGCCCTTTCAAGCCAAAAATTTCTTTCAAAGACAAAGTCATAAGGAAACTGCTAGCATTTGTACAATAATCCCTTTAAAGTTTCATAGAATCACCAAAATATCTGACTCAGAATTAAAGGGACCATCACCACCACCACCACAAGATAAAAAAAAAAAAAAGCTCGGAGAAAGCCCTTTTGTTCTACAATAATTGGATATAGTGATTGCACAAGCAGATCATCATCTTGATCTTGGTCAAAAATAAATTGGAAGTTATTTGTGCCCAATTTCACTGGTATTTTACCCTGATAAAGGGTAGATCCATGAGATCAATTTTTACCATTCAACTTGAAACAAAGCAACCAAAATTAATAGATGGGAACTTTTTTGTTACCCCTCATACATCAAATAATGGAGCCTAAGAGGCACCAGAAATTAAAGGTTTTTATCAATTGTTCCCCCAAACCTGTAAGAAATATGCTGCTAACTGGAAAAAGAAGAGGCGACACTTCATGTTCAAAGTGAATGTGCTAAAAAGGAAGAAAACATTTTTTTTTTTGCATTAAACATACCACTAATAGTATCAAAACTTGTATCCATAAAACCAGCCTGCTTTGCCCGGAATTCAAGAAGTTTGTCTGCAACTTGTACTTCTGTAAGTACCACATTATTATGAATTTCCTCCTCTAGCCAAGCCCAAAACTGTGACAGCGCAGCTGCATCCCTGAAGGGAAGTGGAAAAGAAAATACTTATAAGATGCTCAAAAGATCCTTTTCTTGTTGGTGGTGCCATAGATAATTTAACCAAAAGCTATTTAATTAGATATGACCAAAAGTTATAAACATATGGTCAAACCATTGAATCTGAAAGCCAAGAATAGCCATTTATTCTTGTTCGCTATATTGAAAGTAAGATCAAATTACAGACACTGCTGAGAATCATTCTTATCCCCCAAATTCTAGGAAAAGATGCTCAGTCTTGGACAAGGTATCATGAGAAAGGAACATTGAATATGGTGCAACCACTTTAAATTTCCAATCTTTAATTTCTTATTTGCTATGTATTTTATGTTATTAATGTAGTTAGGGCTGTCAATGGACTCCAAAAGTCCAATACCCGATTCAATAACCGATCCTATTATCCCACATTTGGATGTTAGAACTTGCATCCAATTAATATCAGTTCAGATGCAGATTCAACCCCAACCAATCTGATCAAAATAACTAATAAATTATATGCATGCATAGACATTATATACAATTATATAAAATTTATAACTAATAAATTTAAAATATTATATTTATATAAATTTAATAAGTATGTACAAGTTAAAAAATAAGTAATTTCTCAAAACCATTTTAATTTTTTCTTCATTTTAAGTATAATAAGTTGGAGGATTAAATCTAAATGTGATCTGAGCATGGTTTAAAATGTCCCTAAATTTCCTAATATTTCCACTTCCATGGGTAGTGACACGAAATTTTATTGGAATCAACATATTCCCTAGTGAACACTACCACCACTATGTGGAGTAAAAGAGATAGTTCCATGGCATACTTCCATTTCCTTGTAGAGCGACATGAAATTTTACGAATTGGCATATTCCCCAATGAACATTCTATCATGTAGTTTTGATTCATAAGGTTTATAGAACAACTTCAAAATGCATTCTTTTGTCTATAACCTTAGTTTCTTATCTTTATTTAATGATTTCAAACAAGATAATAATTTAAAAAGGGATTTTTGGATCTGACAACCCTTGACCTTTGCCAAAAAAAAAAAAAAACTAAATTATACCCTAAAGAATTAAAAGGGTCATTTTTGCTCTCAAATTATGATGAAAAGTCCACTTTAAGGCAAAAATAGACAATGTTAGAGACATCGTTGATGAATCCATTATAGACAATGAATAAAATAATAAAAAATGCTTAAGTGGCATTGCTCAAGTTTGAAAAGGCCACTTTAATAAAGTTAGTTAAGTAAATTATTTCAGGGTCTATGATGGTATAAAGTTAATTAAGTAAATTAAATAAATTACACTAATTAAGACAATTAAATTAAGCCAACTATATAAATTAATCAATTGAATAAGTAAATTAAATTAATTAAGGAAACCAAGTTAATTTAGTAAACTAAATAAACAAAGCTAATCGATCTAAGTAAGTAAATTAAGTAAATTAAGCAAGGTTTTAAAAACCGATCAAAATACAAAATTGCTTTGGCCAGGTTTTTTGGGTCAGCGATTTGATCACCTGGTTCGAACAGATCAGCATGTGATGTTTTGAAAATAAAAAATAAAAAATAATTAAAATAAAAGTAACCTGAAAACCATTCATTAGGTTGTACAATTTAGTAGTTCAATTGTCTGGGCCAACAATTTGCTTACCAAAACCGATTCAACATTTTTTTTGGGAAATTCCGGGCTGAGTATAAAATGTAATCACACAATTGACAGGATCTTGGGTCAAATGGCTCGACCACTCAGGTCAACAATGATTTTAAAACCATGCAATTAAGTGAATTAACTAATTGATTAAGTAAATTAAGTCAACTAAGTAAATTAACTATTTAATTAAGTCAATTAAGTAAATAGAGTAAATAAATAATCAACACTAAGGTAAATTAAGTAATTCAATTAAGCAAATTGAGTTACTAAGTTAACTAGGAGTGCCCATAAAAAACTGAAAAACTGAACCAAGAAAATTGAATGAAAAAATCTGGTTAACCAAACTGATCGCTTTGGTTTTGGTATAATATTTTTTAAAAACTGAAGGACCAGTCCGGCTTTCGGTTAACCTAAAAAATACAACTGGTTAATCGGTTGATTTGGTTTCGGTTTCCGTTTTTGCTTTGAAAAAGTACCCCATGGTTCAGTTAACACAACCATGAACACCCCTAAAGTTAACTAAATTAATTAAGTAAATTAAGTGATTGCTAATTTACTATTAGTTAAGCTAATCAGGTTAGTGTTTAATTAATAATTTACTCTTAATAATTGCTAATTATTTACTATCAAATTAATTATTGTTAATTAATGACTCTATTTTGATAAAACCCTTGAAGTAATTTACTTCATGGTTAATAAAATTTATTTTTTAACTAATAAATTTTTTCAACATCTAGAGTGGCCTTTTCGAACTTTAGGGTCTAAAGTAGCCAGTAATTTCCCAAATTTTTTTTTGACTTAAGCAGTGCACATAAACATGCTTTATTATTTATTTATTGTCTAACGAATCTGTTGACGACATCTCTAACACCATCTATTTTTGTCTTAAAGTGACTTTTCCATCATAGTTTGATGACGAAAATGGCCCTTCTAATTCTTTAGGGTCTAAAGTGGTTTTTTTTTTTTTTTTGGCAAAGGTGTGCCTATGCTTCTTTTATCATCTCATAAAATATCATTCTATATTTTTGCATATTTTACAATGTTTCCACCATGCCTATAATTTTTACAATATTTCTGGCTTTTCTGACATGTTTCCTATATTTAGATGACTGACATTTCCACCAACACCAATATTTTAAACCTTGGATCTGAGTTAGACCCAATTACAACCCTAATGTAGTTCCAATTTCCAAATTACTATTTATTTTCTGGTTCCATAATTTCTAAAGGTTAACAACCTGGGAAATTGTGGAACCTGAATACCTGCGATATGCCACTTACCAGGGTACGCTGCATAGGATTTCTCCTAGATGCATGAAAGAGGGTAGCTCACCTTAATTAAACATAATATTTTCATTGGCATCATCTATAAATGAATGTGTCCAATCTGATTGTGGAAAGGGATTGCAAGGAGGTCCTTAGTTATATCTTTGGGTACCACACTAGATGATCAAAGAAGTTATATCTTTCGCATCCAATTTGAACTGCTCATTCAGATGGACACCTCTCTCAAGTCTCAACTAATACTTTAGTTAATATCCTTGCAAGAAAAATGGAATAACCATGGACCAGTTTCTGTGGAGGACACCACATACAGGTACTGAAGCAAATCCAATTTAACTGTAGCAGAAAATCAATGATGCTTGGCAGCTTTGAGCTGTTTGTAATAATGCCTTCTCTCCATTTTGTTTGGATACAGAGAAGTTTCTCCTTTCCTTCATAATTAAAACAATTCAAAGTTACTGATCAAAAATAAATAAACAATGTGTCCAATGGATGAAAATATGTAAGAGTTAGTTTCATTTTAGTAGCTCATTTTTCATATATCACACTTATGAACTTCTTTGTTGCCAATAAATTCTCTATTTTATCATTAGGTCCCAATGAACATGCAGGATTGATGGGCTTGTGAGAATATCATTGCATACTCTCTTATCATCTTCTACTTCTTCTATGTTCTTTTCCTCTTTTCTCTATGAACCACAATTTCTTAATTTTTTTTTTTACATTGGCAGTGAGTTTAAACATTCTATGCACCTAGAGTGCCTCTTTGGCATGCCATAGAATTTTGAGGTACCTCAAGGTCAAGGAAATACAGGGTGTTGAATCCCCATAATAAGATGGGAGATCTATTCCCATATACTGTATATTCATTGCAGATAATTATTGAATTAGAAGAGTAAAGCAGAACAAGAATGATACAGAAATAATTTACAAAACACAGTAGAAAGCTAAGGCGCATGCCACTTGTGATTGACTTGGTAACATACTCTCATGCAGAGGAAAGGATTAAAAATTGATAAGGCAATTTTCTTCCTCTTTTCTTTTCCCTATACACTATGATTCTGTGTCTACCTCCCCCCAAAAGCATGTGTTCTCATAATTGATGAAATTTAAGGAAGTAAAACGAATCTCCATCTTGCAAAATACTACTTGAGAGGTGCTACTTCATTTTGATACTGGTACATGTGACCATGTCAATATTAGAAAATTCTGAGCAGCTTGGCCATGCTTGGCAAAAAGAAAATAACTATTTCAATAAAAAATAAGTGGTTCCAGTAAAAGGATATATCACCTTAAATGTGAATTTTGCATTCCTTCCAGTTCAGCAGGATTTTTCACTGCCTTTGCAAAGGTGACAGGAGAAACCTTGTAAATTCCAACAGGTCCTTCAGATTCACCGATTAGCTCTTCATGTTTCCCTTTATTATTTTTGCCTTTCTTCTGAAGATTTCCAAGAAATTTATCACAAGCAGATCTATAGGTTGCGACTATGGCTGCATTTACACTTGATGTATCCAACCAAAGTTGTGCCCCTTTTGTAGCCAAACTGAAAAGAAAATTATGATTTAAAATACAATGGTGATAGAAGGATCCTTGTCATGCTATATGTGTGGGAGATTATGAATTCAGAACCTAAACTGCAACAGAACTTGTTGCATGCATGCATGCCAATGCACTATAACTTAGATGATTCAATCAAGAGACCTACAGAATCCTACTCATACACATGACAAGTTTACTGCTTTGAAAATCATATTGTAGGATAGAAGCAACCACAGAAAATAAGCATGTGTCTTCCTTTTTTTATTCTGAAACAACTTTGAACTAGCAGGAGAAGAAAGGCCCACTATTTTCCAAACAACAATGGTCTTAAAAAGTTGCTTTAACTTAAATATTGAGCTTAAATGAATGTTTTTTCATTGAGTTTGCCATGAGCAAACAGGTTGGCATGAAATATTTGTCAGGAAAGTAATAGTATAATCCAATAATATGATTGTTTCCCATTGCTTCTTTGTCACTAAGAACTTTCCATTCTACTATTAATTAAGGTGAAACTGGTTATCGAAAATTGTATATGCCAATCACCACACAGGGGAACTATTGTTGCCTAGATACTGCCTAAGCTTCTTAATTATCTTTAATTCTTGAGCCACCAAACATTACCTTTCTATTTCAGAAAGAATGGATTCATATGGTCTCAACTCTACTCCTGAGTTCTTCAAATGATCCATCACTTCCTTGGAGACTTTAGAATTATCAATAAACAGTTTGGCCCCATCAATCTCTATGCTTAAGTAGGCATACATCACAGGTGAATGCGGAACATCATTTCCTCTCTACAAGTAAGATAAAAATACATTAATTGCATTAAATATAGAAATAGGATATCAATGAACATAACCACTAAAAATTTAGAAAGGGGGAACAGATAGCATAGATAACAAGGGCATCAAGAAGAAATTTCCAGGGAAAGCAGTTAGGCAAACCCTTATTATACTAAAGCTACTTGTGCTTTATGCATATTTAAAGAAACCAAACAAAGCCATAGAATGTCACAAAATCCAAGTTAAATTGTTTGTTTTTTTAATACAGCAGTTTTCCAACTTGAACAGAATTACTCTAGCAGATTCACAGGGACTGAGATCCACCAAATCCTTAAACTGTGCAGATTAATTGGTGGAAGGAGATTTACATGTAATAATAGGGTGGCTTACAAGAAGGACAGGATCTTGGAAATATAGACACATTATGATGGAGATCAAGAAGCTGGCTATAGACTTTATATAGATGGACCTTGTGATCAGCCAACTTCTTGAAAGATGGATTAGCAAAACAGGGAACAACCAGATTCTTGGGGTTTAATTCCCAGGGGGGATTTGTAAAACGAATACAGTGGGGTTGGAGGAGGGAGTTTGGATGAGCTACTGACATGCGGTCCCAACAACTCCCCAACTAGCCATTGCAGCCATACATCAGGAACATCTCCCCATGAATGACAAGGGAGATGGTCCCAATGTGCAGCTGCAGTGGTCCATTGAGAGAGTGTTGGGAGCGTTCTGTTGGTAGCAGATCCCTACCCTGGGGGAAGGGGCTAGCTGACTATTGGGGTGCTTGGTACACTGCTGTATTCTAACTATTCTTTTTCATTTAATTAATAAATCCATTGGTTTTACCAATCAAAAAAATACAGCAGCATTCCAACAATATTTGGTCTTCATGCCTACAGATACATGTGTCTACCATGACAAGAGAAAAACCACTTAGAACATATAGGAAGCTAGCTATGAGGATTACCAAGTTCAACAACCAAGCAACCTCATCAAGCATAGAAATAACAATTGCAGAACAACCCACTTCAACAAGATCAGATCTTAGGGAAGACAACTTTGATGAGACATCAACACCGGCATACTTGATGTTGTGCACTCTAATTGGTTTTTGAGGAAGCTTCGGTCTTGATTCTTTCCATATCTCGTCCACAAGATTCAAATCATACAAGTAAACCAATTGATGGTTCCTCTTAGAAATGGTATCTTTAAGTTCCTCTGCTGCATCAGAAGAAAAAAGAAACTGCTCCCTTCACAAAATCAAAGAAAATATGGCATAAGACACTGTGCAAGGTGAAGAAGAATGCCATGCAGCTACTAGATTTTGAAAATAATTGACACTGCAAAGTTTAATAATAAACTGTAGGCTAATCTAGACTAGAAGTGCTTTACAAATTTCAAATTAAAATGAAAACAATTTTCAGTGTAGAACTTAATAAGAAAGGAACACAATTGGAGTATTGGATCAATAATTGAATGTTTTTTGTTTCAACAGTATAGTATGTTGGTCTGCCTACGTCATTAATATACAACCAAAAATTTATGGATAAGTCCACATTAGGAGGTGACAAATAACTCACAGGATCTATGCCAACTCTGCAACCAGGAACTAGAACCTCATTAAGCCATTCACCAGTAGTAGGGACTCCAAAATTGCCAGCACGCATGAGAATCCAACTAGGGCTTAACTGCTTTTCTGCCTATTGAGGAGAGAGGTCCGTGGAGTCAAAACACAGAAGGCATAAGATGTTAAAATGAACTTATGGCTCAGTTTGGAAGGAGTACAAATACAAATATGTAGAGTGCAAAACCTGGTATTTTGTATTATTTTGTATCTATTTGTACTGTACATATTTGTATTTGTACTCTTTCCAAACTGAGCCTATATTCCATTTCCTAACTGAACTAAGAGAGGAATAGAAAACTAATAAGAATAAGCTTGATGGAAATAAGAGAACAATTAAGACGTAATTTCACTGTAACTGACTTGAACATTTTAGATGAACCTAAATATCAGCCAAGTGCATATGGAACCAGAGTCCATTGTTCCTCAACATGCATGTAGCATATAACAAGAAATTTGAAAATCAAATTGAATTGAATTACAATTACAATTACAATCTTCTTCCTATTATCAATGTGTCCCCCAAACCTGAAGAAAATAACGCCCATCAGTCCAAAGAGCTGCTTTATCCTTTGTGACAACAGCAGTTCCTGCACTACCAGTAAATCCAGATATATATGTCCGCCTCATAAAGCACTCAGCAATGAATTCACTCTGTGGACAGCAGATGAAAAACAATTAATTAAAGATGAGCAGGAGTCCATAAAAGCAACATGGCACTTAGTAGGTCCCTTTCCAGAATAAGGGTAAGAACCCTCTACTCTACTATTAGACGCACCATGAAATTCATCATCGTCATGCACGGGAAGAAATTTGTGCATAAAACCAAACAAATACTGAAGAAAAAAATGAAAAGCCAAACCTGGTGAGCATCTTGGGAAGGGATAATATAAGCATCAATTCCAACCCCGGGCCTGGAGAAGAGCTCCCGGAGAGCGCGAAGTTTCTCGTCGGGTTTCGAATCATCACGCTTCTTCTGTATCTCTGACGAGGGTTTGGCAGTGATCGAACCACAGTTCCGGACGACCAAAAGTTGGAGATTCGGGGATCTTCTGTGGATTCTTTGTTGGGTTTTAATCCTCCCAAAAAACGGAACTGATAGAGAGAGGAAGTGAAGGCAGCGAGCTTGTAAGTTCGAAGAACCAGCCATGGCTGTCGAAAACGTTTTGGGGTGATACAGTGGAGGTATTGCCGTCATTGCTGCCGTTGCTTCCATCTCTCTCTCTCTCTGCTCTTTAAAAAGGATCGAATAGAGAACCAGAGAAGGATCAGAATACTTGTCCAATGTTGTGTGGATAAGATTAAACTTCTGATTCTTTAATTGGAGGTTCATATAAATGGGTGATATTGGCCGTATGATTCATGGACTTCCCAAGTTCCCATCATTCGGAATGTTACGCACTTCACACTTTACGTTAGTGGACCCCAGTGGAGACCAAGCCTCCAACACACGCGAGAAAAAGTCTTTAATCTGAAGAACTTTTCCCGGACAGGCTTCCACTTTACAGATTTTACGGTACAAAACTGAGAGAACACTCTACTCTGAAGCTCGAAAGCGGTTCATCTGTTCTCGCAACACCTTGGGGCTTCCACTAATGGCGATTATAACAGAAGAACCAGAAGAGAAGGAAGAACCAAGGCCCTTGCAGAAGAAGCAAAAACCTTCCTCATCTTCAAAACCAGGTACGGGTGGTAACGATTCTCCCACTGCAAACGCATTCCTCTTCTGGGCTTATTTCACTCTCGGTGTTTCTCTCATCACTCTCGTCTTCGTATTTCTCTCTTCACTAACTCCACAGAACGATAAATCATGGTTTTTAAGCTTACCCGACGATTTGCGCTTTCATTATTCCAAGGGTAGAACAATTAAAGTCCAGGTGAACCCAAATCGGTCTCCTATTGAAGTTTTTGCAATAGAAGACGGTCCCAGAGGTGGAGAAGCCGTATTAATTGTCCATGGATTAGGTTGTAGCTCGTATTCTTTCCGCGAAGTGGTTCGGTCCTTGGGCTCCAGTGGAATTTATGCTGTTGCGATCGATCTCCCAGGTTCTGGTTTCTCTGATAAGTCTGCATTGGAGGAGGATGAAAGATGGACTGGGGTGTTGGGTAGGTTCTGGGATGTTTATAGTGATATTAAGGAGAAGGGTTTGTTTTGGGGATTCGATCAGCTCGTCGAAACAGGGCAAATTCCTTATGAAGAAAATAAAATCAGGGTTTCCACAAGGAAGAGTATTAAACCCTTGCAGTTGAGATCTGAGAAAATGGGTCGAATCATAGGGCAAGTGATCGATGCGATGGGTCTCGCTCCTGTGCACTTGGTTTTGCACGATTCAGCTGTGGGGATGACTGCCGGTTGGGTTATGGAGAATTCAGGATCAGTGAGTAGCCTAACTCTTGTTGATTCTGCTGCAAAGTCCATAGCTTTGCCGTTGTGGGCACTAGAAATGCCGGTTATCAGAGAGTTTGTATTGGGGTTTTCATTTACTTATTTGGGATTTCTAAGATTGTGTTGCTCAAGATCAATTAATTCATCAGCTGCAGAAGCTCATAGGGTTCTTTTGAAGGGTAGGGATGGTAGGAGAGCAGTTGTTGGAACAGGGAAAGCTCTGAATTACAGCTTCAATCTGGGTGAATGGGCCAGTTCAGAGGCAGTAAAGGGTGTACCACTTCAAGTGCTTTGGTCTAGCCGTTGGTCTGAAGCATGGAGTGAAGAGGGACGTCATGTTGCTGATACTCTTCCGGAGGTGACATTTGTCCGGCATTCTGGTGGGCGGTGGCCTCAGGTGAGAATTGAATTACTTGTAAGAACACAAATCAAGAATTAATTGTTAGATAAATTAAAACCTATTATGTCTCCCGGCAACAATCAAACTGAATCCTGATCATGTCTTCTATCGTTTACAGGTTTTCATAGAAATGTGCAGCTATAGTCTAGTCAAATATTGTGTTTCTGTGTATCATCCTTCATGAATTTATAGACAAGGTCCATAAGCATGCTTCTGGAGATTATCCAGTTGTTGGAAAACATCTCCTTGGATGGACCACTTCAAAAAATAAAACTAATTCATTAGTCCATGTCATTGAAATTAAAATCTACAATTTTGAACAGCTGCATAGATTTTTTTATGGGCATCACAGGTACATGGATGAATGAATTAATATTCAGCAAAAGGTTTTTATCCATTAGGTATGCATATTTTATTTAAGTACCATTGAACTGCTACCAATTCAAGAGGTATTCCACAAATTGAAGAAACTGAAATTAGCTGCTTGGTCACATTTGTGTATGGAAAGAATTGACTGGATGTACATTGTATAGTTAGTTGGTTTACTAGTTTACTAGTTTTTGGGTTGACTGGGAATAACATCCCAACCACTTAGCGACCACAATCTTTGATGAATCACCATTACCTGAATCCTGCACGATACCATATCCAAATATGACCATTGCAAGTGATTTTGCAAACCAACTGATCATCATTTCTGGTGTCAGATATCATCATTTTGTACACTATTCATGTTCAATATTTGTTTTGGTGTTGATACAACAAGTTAATTGTTCATATGAGTGTAGGATTCTTTTGGTTATTTATTGTTGATTCTTTTCTCTTAGAAATCATACGAGTGTAGGATGATCAATAATCTCATTTGTTACTGTGATTTTTTACCACATTATTTTTGTTGCTATTCCGATGTCCTACCAGGAGGATGCAGCAGATGAAATAGCTGATATTATTGTCCAGTTCATACACTCGTTGCCCAAATCCATCAGACAAGTTGAGCAAGAGCCCATTCCTGAGCATATTCAAAAGATGCTTGATGAAGCAAAACGTAGTGGTCATGAACATCATCATGGCCATGGTGGACATGACCACCATGAGAATCATGATCATGTTCATGCTGGCTACATGGATGCTTATGGTCTAGGTCATGGCTGGGGAAGTTGATCAATAGTTTTCAGTTTGCAAGTGGATGGAAAACTGGATTTAAGATCTCTAGCTATGTATGCTGATGGCGAAGCTGCTAGGTGACACTTCCCTTTTATCAATTTGAATGCAAAGCTTGTCTCCTTGAAGGCTTCTTTTTTTTCTTTTCTTTTTTTTTTTTTTTGGAAGATATGGTACTCCTATGGATCTTCAGAGCTATAGTTGGGTAGGTTTCATTTTTTCAGAGGTTATTAAGCTAGTCATTTGTAGCATGTAGCTCATTTCTCTTCTCTTTATTCTCTTTCTTGCAAGTTATTTAATAGTTGAACTTTGAAAAGAAAATTACAAAGATTGGCTTGTTCTGCCTTCTAATATCTGTTATTGATGGGTGGTTTTCCTTCTAAATTTTCAAATTATGTACAGAGAATAATATTATGGTTGGTTAGTGGTTACATAAATTATGTACTTCAGTGTGATCTAATTGGTGGGCATTTTGTTTCTCCACCTTTTGATCAACATTCAACCATGGAGATTGGGCTCAGCTCAGAAAAAACATCTAAGAGATATTTCTATATGTTCTATCTGTTTAGTTAGGCCTTTGTAGACCTGTTCATGGGCCGGGTAGCCCGATGGCCTGGCCCGGCCCGACCCACACCCCGGTCGGGTTTGGTCATGTAATTAGGCCCGCGGGCCTGACCTCGGGCCTAACACGGTAAGCCCGTCTGTGTTTCGGGCCGGGCTTGGGATTTGTCAAAAAAGCCCGGCCCGACTTAGCATTATATATTTTATAAAATATATAATATGTATTTTATATATTATATAAAATATATGAATAATATAATATTTATTAAAATATATATTTATAATTTAATATATACATTTTTTATTCTTTTCTTTATAATCTCTCTCTCTCTCTCTCTCTCTCTCTCTCTCTCTCTCTMTMTMTATTCAGCCGCTAACAATATGGGCTAAATTTCAGGCTCGGGCCCAGGCCCGGGCTTTGGGCTTTTTATGCGGGCCGGGCTCGGGCCCAAGTTGTAGGCCCGATGGTCGGGCTAGGCTCGGGCTCGGGCCTTAGAAAATTCTGTTAATATAGAGTGAAAGCTCGGCCCATGAACAGGTCTAGTCCTTTGGGACAATTCTTCAATATATCTTCTCAAAAGGAATTAGTAGTGGACCCAGAGCAGTAACAATAGAGAATGTAGACCAAAGGAAAGCCATGAAAGTTTTCATTATGCCTTCCAAACAAGAATTTATAATCTGGTCGAGCTTTATCATGCACCGATATTTTTATATATTGCATATTTGATCAACCTTTCAACTCATTTTATCAAACATACATACCTTCCTTCTCCATTGTCTGGTCATAGAGGTGCCATTCATTCTTGTAAAGGGTCTCAAATTACACCAAGTATAGAACACTCGGTGCGTGTGGACACACACACAAACATGGTCTGGGAAGTCTAGGATCTCAAATTACATCAAGTATATGACATCAAGCTCAACACCCTTATGATGTATGTACAACAGTTTTTTATAGGTACTTTTGAATAAAAGTTTTGATATCTTGGGTGCTAACACTACTTGGAAAAAAAGATTTTTTCAATACAAGTTGGGGCGGGGATAGGCTGACAGGAACCAGAGTGAATACTTTACCAATTTATAGGTCCCTCTTTTTGTGATGGACAATCTGGATTTATCTTGTAACCCCTCCATGTGGTAGGAACAGGTGGAATTTGTCTTAGAGAAGCAGCATAAATGACCTATCAGGCTAACTTTTTCCACATATATGCACAAAGTGTATGGTTTGTGAATTCTCATTTTGGTTCAAAGGGGAAAGATTTAATTTGTCAGGTTTTATCATTTAAAATATGAAGTTAATTATGTTGTGCATTTATATAAGTGCATACTTGTTCTAAAATTTAATTATCTCAATACATTTAAAATATTTAATCTCTGTTGACAAAAAAATCATCTTTCATCATTATTCTCTTAGAATATTATTCAAAAATAGGTACATAAGTTTTTAGATAATAGATATAAAGAGTATTAGTCAGATAAAAACTTCAATTTTGATATAGTGTTAATCCCCCATTTCCATCTTAATTTGAAAGTGTGGCATATAGGATTAAGCTTCTCAATCTCCTTGTTCTAACTAAAGAAAAATTTGGATATTGGTTTGTAAAGTTCAACCATTTGTGGGTTAGGAATTAGGATAAATAAAGGTTGATTTTTTGTTCCAAATTAGCATGAATCTTATGGTCTCTCCTTATGGTTCCTCACCCTATCTTTCTCATGGTGTCTTCCAAAAAGGAGTGATGCGGTCAGTCTAAGGGAGACCTGTCTCAACTCAACAAAGCCTTGTCCAAACCATATAGGGTTGGTTGTATCTTGTTACATCATTCCATTCTGTTCAGAGCCATATTTTTCATTATTACATTATAGGTCATCAAATCATGTCTACTAATGCATGTTCTTTTTGTTATGCCCCTAGTTCTTATAGACCTTCCAACTTGCAATATGTTGAATAACTTAGTTCTATTTTCAGTTTAGTGCTGCAAGGGCACATTTGTAATTACACCTCTTTTTATTTTTGAATGGTCGCCCTAGTATAAATATTAAAAAGGCTGGCGCCACCAGCTGACCTTTTCCTCTCTCAAATCTCTTTTCTGTTTTCTCTCTTCTCTCTTCTCTCTTCTCACTATTCTAGGATTGCACTGCCTCTTCACCAAGAAAACATGGTATCAAAGCGGCAGATCCAATCTTAGGAGCAGGGCGAACTGTGTGCTTCTTCCTCCAACTTCTACATTTGTCTATTGGTGATCGAATCGAAGGAAAAAGGTCTCTGGTGGACATGTGAGGGAGCTTACTGCAATTTTTTTTTCTCTCTTGGTCGTGAGCCCAGAAATCATCAAGGGAGGGAAGCCGAATGCTGTGAGTTTTTTCTTTTTTCTTTCTTCCTCAGCTTTGTGGGTTGAACTAATCCTTTGTACGGTTGTACCCAGGTGAGTGGGTTATGTGGGTCTAATGACCTGCGGCTGGTGTGAGAGTGTCTTCTCTCAATGTATGTGGATCGAGTGATCCTTCTTATGCCCTGAAAGGTAGGCTGTTTAGGTCTGCAGATCTGTAACTGCTGTGACAACAGTTCATTTCCTTCTTCAGTTCATATTGAACCTAAATTGCTGTGTGAAAAGTTGATGAGTTATTGCTGGAGGGACTGGTCAGACCTGTTTTTTATATGTTTTGCACATCTGAACTGGTTTAGTAGTTCTGAAATCTGAGAACAAGTAATGGTGTGTGATCAGTTTTGATTACTCTGTGTGAGAACAAGTTTTTTGTGCCCAGAATTATGGCTGAACTAAGACTGCAGCCTGTTTTGACTGTACTGTGAGTCTGAACTGAACTGAGAACTTGTTCTCTAGCTGGATTGTGACTGAACCGAAATCTGGTTCTATGTCTTCTAAGAATTCTGGTATGTCTGGTGTGACCTCTAGTCAGAGTGGGATGAGTGGAGGTTTTGACATGAGTTTCCCCATGGCTGTGATTCCCTTTAATGGCCTCAATTACCTAGAATGGTCAAGGGCAATCAAGCTCTACATAACTACAAGGGGAAAAGTGGGGTATATTAATGGTAGAATCAGAGAACCCCAGTCTGGAGGCGTGGAACATGATAGGTGGGACCAGGAAAACAGCATGGTGATGTCATGGCTGTTATTGTCTATGTTGCCACAGGTGAGAAAGTCCTTCATGTGGGCAGAAACAACTCATTAGATATGGGAGCAAGCAAAATCTACATATTCAAAACAACAGCATTATGCCAAAATATATCAGTTGCAGGCTGCCTCCTCAACTTGTAAGCAGGGGGAGAGGAGTCTCTCCGTCTACTATTCAGACTTGACTTCTATTTGGAAGAAACTAGATCACTATTAGAATATAGATTGGAAATGTGATGTAAATGCCAAAACATACAAATCTTTGGTTTCCCAACAACGAGTGTTTGCCTTTCTCCTAGGGCTGAATTCCACATATGAATCTATCAGGGTTCAGATATTGGGGAGTAAAAATCTCCCATCAATACAAGAAGTATAGGCTCTAGTACAGTCATAAGAGAGTAGACAAAATGTGATGAATAATCCTGAGAGAGAGCAGATTGCATTAGTAGCTAAAGGGAGTGTTGCTATGGGTGGTGGTAATTCCTTCAAGAAGAGTGACTTCCAGAAGAAAGTTGATGACAAAGATAAACTATGGTGTACACATTGTCAGAAGGCTAGACATACTCGGGAGACATGTTGGGAGCTTCATGGGAAGCCAAAGTGGACTTAGGAACTAAGTAAAAAGCCAGACCATAATAAAAAGCCATGACAGCAAGGTTAGAGGAAGTTTAATGCAGCAAACTTAGCCTCTCAAGAACCTCAATCATCTACCACTACTATGAGTCCTTCCGTGATTGATCCCAAGGAAGATATCATTAATTCTTTCAATTTAGTGCCGCAAGGGAACCTCTTTTTATTTCCAAAAGGTCGCCCTAGTATAAATATTAAAAAGGCTAGCACCGCCAGCTGACTTTTTCTTCTCTCAAATCTCTTTTCTCTTCTCTCTTTTCTCTTCTCTCTTCTCCTTCTTCTCTTCTCACTATTCTGGGATTGTACTGCCTCTTCACCAAGAAAACACAATAGATTACTTCTATGCTCATGAATAAATCATCTTAATCTACTTCAACTCATTTTATCATCTACCAGTGCCACTCCTAGATTTATAAAAACATGTTTTCTGGACATTTTGGGATTTCTTATCTTCTTTTTTTTTAATTTTAGTTTTTTCACTCATCCAACTCAACATTCATAATTTTGCTACAATTGTTTTCTGGACATGTTTCTTGACTATCAAGCATTGTACTCCAATATAACATTGTTGGCCTCATAGTCATTTATAAAATTTCTTTCTAGTCCAAGTGTTATTCACCTATCATAGAGCACTATGAATACACTCTTTCATTTCATTTCTCTTGCTCTAGTTATATGGACAATATCCTCAACCTCTCCCTTGTTATGGATTTTTTTTCTTTTGATAGATTCCCTTTTTATGGATTATTAAAGCCAAGGTCATGAAAAACGTCACATTTAGGTATTTCTTGGTCTCCATCTTTGAATGTACCCCGATTCCCACTTACATTATGATGAACTTTACATTGCATATATTCCATTCTAGTCTTATCTTACAACCTCTTGAACCTTGAACATCTCTTTATAGACTGAGTGTTGCATTTAGTCACAAGCAAACAACATATACCATGCAACCTCCTCCTACCTTAGTGAATGTATCCATTAGCAAACAAATAAGTGTCAAGTGCTGACCCTTGATGAAGTTTAATTGT